TTTTTTTTTTTTTTTTTTCAGACATTGGTGGCTATATCAGAGGTGACTAGAGAGACTTATAACAAGAATCCTGATTTTTTCCCAATAGAGCCCATGGATTATGGTCGTTTTCTTGTGATTTCGCTTGGTACGGGTGCTAGGAAAAACGAGGAAAGATACGATGCGAAACGCGCTGGGCAGTGGGGCGTTTTCGGGTGGCTGTACGTAACACCGAGTCCATTGCTAAGGGCTTATAATCAGGCAAATGTGGACATGGTCGACTTTCACAATGCCGTGGTGTTTCAAGCTCTTCGTTCACAACACAATTATCTTCGCATCCAAGTAAGTATTTTTTTTTTTTATTATTTTTCCAAGTTAATTTGATTAAATAAATATATTAGGGGATATGATATTTCCAAGAAAACTCTTGATTTAAAAGAAAAAAGAATAGGGTAGGGTTGTAAAATAAATTTTGGCGTGAAAAATGTAAAAATAATTTTTTTATGTAATTATATACTCCCGACGAAATAGTTCCGTAACAGGACTGTACACATGATTCTAGTTTGAATATCATATACTGCTATCATTCACGCATATATATGTGATTAGAATATATGGTAAATTAACGATTTACGCATATATATGATTATAATATACTTAATTATTGATTTATTTATATTGTTTTCCTTCTTAAAAAATTAAATTTAAAATTCAGGATGACACATTAACTGGGAAGCTCGCTAACATGGACATTGCAACAAATGCAAACTTGAAAAATCTAGTTAAGGTTGGTGAAGAGCTCTTGGAAAAACCAGTTTCAAGAGTTAATTGTCAAACAGGAGCTTATGAACCTATTGAGAATGGTGGGACTAACATGGAAGCACTTAAAAGGTAGGTGCCGACTTTTTTTTGGGGAGATTCTACGGTCTCGTTATGGAACAATTCCGTCGGAGTTTGTAACCATTAAATTAACTATCTTCGATGGTTACATGATGATCTAACGGTTACAAATCTCGACAGAATAGTTCCGTAACGGGAATGTAGCATTTTCCCTCTTTTTGTATTTACTTTTTAGTTTTTATGTACACTAGTTGGCAAGTTATATAAAGCACACATTAATTTTCTTGTATATTATATGGTTTACAGGTTTGCTAAATTACTGTCCGATGAAAGAAAATTGCGGCTTTCCAACTTTAACTCTGTCTGAAGATGATCAGTTTCATGTATAATAACTATCATGTGTAGACAATGTAAAATTATAAATAATTGTTTTGTCATGCGTTTTAGTTGAATATTTTTAGTTGAACTCGATTTGTAATAATAATTCACAAGTGATTAACTGTTTATTATTATTACACTCATATTAATAATAATAATAAAAAAAATTGGTTTTCTTGGATTCAACTCCAAATTGTTGAAGCAGTGGTGCTTTTAGGGTGTGATTTTTATCATCTAGTATGTAATTTAACTAGTTTTTTACTAGTAAAGTTGAGTATTAGAACTAGTATTTTACTAGAAATGTATTCTCCTGCTACACATAGCCCCTCCATATCATCGATTTCAAGGCTTACAGTGACAATAGTTGTCGGCCACTCATCCACATGCATGATTACATTTAAAAAAAAGAAAAAGAGAGAGAAAAGAAAATTCAAACAATGTTTCAAAATTAATTTGGGGTCACATGCCATGCAGTTAGACGAAAAAATTTTCATTCACATGCAGTGACACCAATTTTTTATTTTGGTACCTCCACATCAAATCTTTGCACAACAAATACAACATGGATCATCTTCTTCTTTTTTTTTTCGGTACAAAGAAAGATGCCAAAAGGCCTAAGTTAATACGCGTCGAGGGTACGAAACCCCGACAATATCATGATTAAGTCACGCGCCGATCCCCGCAGGCGGGGAGTCCAACAGGTGAAGGCCCAAAGGGTGAAAATCCGCCATGCTCGCCAAGTGGTCCGCCGCACAATTGGCTTCTCTATAAATGTGACGGATGCGTACACACCACTCCCGGGAAAGCAAGTCCCGAATGGCTTGAATCATCGAAGAATGGGGACCCAATTCTTTTTCAGGCTCGCAAACCATTGTCTTAACGCAAAGACTATCGACCTCAGCCACAACCTTCCGATAGCCCCTTGCCCACGCCAACGAAAGTCCTTGAAATAATCCACACAACTCAGCCCCCGTGACTGTGCAAAGACCGATATTAAAGAGAAACCCCGCAATCCACCGTCCAGCCTCGTCACGAATTAAACCCCCCGCGCAACCCAATCCCGTATTTGTATTAAACGCTCCATCAGTATTTATTTTAACACACCCCTCTTCAGGCGGCAGCCATCGAACTAGCCTCGTAACATGTGTCGTCGCGCCCACCCGTAAATGGTCCGCTGCCGCTCGGTTGTAACTCTCTGTTCTCTGCATAACTTCCAAGCGCCTGGTCTCGGTGTCAAACTGCTTGTTTGTAAACACTCTCTCATTGCGCCAAGACCACGTGCGCCAAGCTGTGATGGCGAACAAGCTGTTCCACTGTTCGCAAGATCCCACCCTCGCCGGCGACAAATTCTGCAGCAGCCACGGGCGCACCGGCAGCTGGAAAAAATCGCGTACAAATCCGGGCAGAAGAAGTCGGCGCCAAAGAGTCCGTGTAGAAGGGCAGTCACGAAGAACGTGTAGTACCGTTTCCCGCTCACCACATTGGTCACAAGCATCAGAAGCTGTTAAATGTCGTCGGGAACGCTCCACATTCGTGAGGAGTCGTTCCTTTGCAGCCAGCCAAAGAAAAGTTCGGGCTCGCTGCGGGCCCGACGTTCTCCAAATGGTATTCCAAAGTGGCCTGTCAACATCACGATCAGATGAGCCTAAGGAAGTGTAGGCAGACTTTGTCGAAAAAGCTCCATTGTCGGAAAACCTCCAAATGATGCGATCAGCACCCGCATTCCCGCGCGGGGGAAGAGTAGCCGTGATTCGGGGAATCACCGATGAGGGAAGGACGCCGTGAAAACAGGCCCAGTTCCACCCTCCTATATCGTCCACAAAATCCGCCACAACTGCTTGAATGTCAATCGAGTGGACCTGAGGGTTAACAAATCGTATTAGTGGCCCGTGCGAATCCAACCAAGGGTCAAGCCAAAACCGCGCTGTCTCGCCATTTCCCAAAATCCAGCGTACACCCTTGAGGACGTTTGGCCAAATTTTGCGAACCCCTCGCATAAGATGCGACACATGTCGTCCATTGCCCAAGTCAAAGGAGGCCGATAAATTGAGCCCATACTTGGCCGTGAGAACACGAACCCAAAGGGAGTCCGGCTTAGTCAATATGCCCCAGCCCACTTTCATGAGGAGCACATCATTCATGCGACCTAGGTCCCGGAGACCCAGCCCGCCCTCTTTTTTCGTCTTGCACACATCAGGCCATGCCACCAAATGTACCTTTTGTCGTTCATCCGAACCACCCCAAATGAAAGCTCTACAGTTCTTCTCCAGAACAGCCGTGGTAGCCCTCGGTAGCCTGGACGTTTGCATTGAGAAAAGGGGAAGCGAACTCAAAGCCGACTGCGTCAGAGTCACACGCCCAGCCAAGGATAGAGATTTCATGCGCCAACCGGCTAGTCGGGAGGCCGTTCGTTCCAATATATGAGAGTAGGTGGATTTTGTTACCCGATCATGAAGAATTGGCACCCCAAGATGCCTACCCAAATTGTCGGTTAGCTTGAAATTCAGTGCTGTCGAAAGTCGAAGCCGCTCGTGCACCGACACATTATGGGAGAAATAAACCTGTGTTTTATCCGGGCTAACACGGAGGCCAGACCGGGAACAAAACTCCTCGAGAACATGCTGCAAGACAGTGACCTGGTCATCTGAGGCTTCCAAGAAGAGAAGTAAGTCGTCAGCAAACATCAGAAAAGGCACGGCAACCTCTCCCCGGCCAACCGAAATGGGCCGCCAAGATGAGTTCTCCACCAACCTACATATACTACGAGCCAGCCTATCCATGCATAGAACAAATAGATAGGGGGACATAGGGTCGCCCTGTCGGACGCCTCGAGTAGGCCGAAACTCCTCGCCAATCGTCCTGTTCCATAATAAGTTCATCGAGGCAGAGGTAAGGGCCGTAAGGCATGCCACAACAGCGCGAACAAGCCTTTCAGGGTAGCCCGCTAAACTGAGTGTTTCTTAAATGTAGTCCCACCGTAAGTAATCATAGGCCTTCTTAAGGTCCACCTTAATGACCATAAAGCCGGTTGGCCCGCGTTTGCTACGCATCGAGTGTATCAACTCCTGGGCGTCCCGGGACGAAACTCGCCTGGGCCGGGTGGATTAAAGCTGGTAGAGTGCTCTTCAGCTTGTTCACCAACACCTTCGTGAAGAGCTTATAAATCACATTCAGCAGACTAATCGGGCGGAATTGTCGGATTGTACGAGGATTGTCAACCTTGGGGATCAGAACCAATAAAGTTTGGTTAACTTGGGCCGGGACCTGTCCTTGCTGCCACATTTCCCGTATAAGTCTTCGGGCAGCCGGGCCAACTACTTCCCATTCCTTCTGATAAAATAGAGCATGTAACCCGTCTTTCCCTGGAGCCTTGAGAGGCGCCATAAGGCGCAGGGCCGTATCAATCTCATCCTCCGTTATGTCATCCTCCAAACTACGCATAACCTCAATATCACATTCCGGAAAGAGATTCTCTGGGTTCGCGAGCATCCTCGGGCCTGGGCTAGCTTGTAGATGTCCTTAAAAAAAGCCGTAGCCAACCGACTTAAGTCCTCCTGGTCCGTGATGAGTGAGCCGTCCACGTCTTCGAGCTCGGTAATGCGCCCCCTCCGGTGCCGGAATTTGATCTGACGGTGGTAGAAGGTCGTATTTCTGTCACCTAGATAGTTCCAATCCCTCTTGGCCTTCTGCAGAAGTAACATTTCTTCCTAACGAATAACATCATCCAACTCCAATTTAAGTTGTCTCTCCAATGTAGCAAGATGAGGGAGAAGCTGACGGCGCCTATGGAGGCCCCCCAGGCGAGCCAACAACTGTCTCTTGCGTCTGAAAATATTGCCAAACACCTCATGATTCCATGTCGTTGCTACCCGAGTAAAATTGTTCGCAGCCTCTAAGTATCCAAGTGATGCCGGCCACGAGTGTTGGAGCATATCCCGAAAACCCGGATGGATAAGCCATGCAGCTAGAAAGCGAAAAGGTTTCCTCCCACTCGACATACGGGAAACCTGACCAAGCTCGAGCATAAGGGGTGAGTGACCGGATTGAACTCTAGGCAGGAGCCGGGTCCGGCTAGTTGCAAACCTATCAAACTATGAGATGTTTGCCACAAAGCGGTCCAACTTCTCTGCCACTGTTCCCGAGCGGGTCTCTCTGGTCCAAGTGAAACAGTGCCCATCCGTGGTGACTTCCTGTAGACTATTGTCAAAAATCCAATCGGCGAAGTCCTGGCTAACGTTACAAAATGTGGGGGATCCTCCACTTTTCTCGGAACGACGAAGGAGGCAGTTAAAATCACCACCAATTAACCATGGTTCAGAAATGCGCAAGGCCAGTCCCCCCAGAGCCTCCCACAAATACTTGCGAGCAGTCGCCGTGGGACTAGCATACACGAACGTGATCAGACTCGACACCCCATGATTGGATGCTTTCACATGTACCAGCTGGCGCGTATACTGCAGTATCTCGACTTGGACCTCGTTGGTCCACAAGACCCAAATGCCGCCTGAAAACCCACGGGCTTCAACACGGAAAGAGTTATCAAATTTACTAGACCGCACAAACTTATCCGCTTTCACCCCACTGATGCGAGGTTCAAAAATCGCCACAATATCAGGTTTATAATGGTGCATAAGGGTGGAAAAAACTCCCCGCAAAACAGGCGAGCCTGCACCCTGAACATTCCATGTGATAATATTCATAACGAAACAAACGAAGAAGGACAGAGGACGATCCACCTCAATCCCGGCTCTGGGCCTGCCGATCCACGCTCTCATCAGTGCACATGTGCTCCGCCGGAGTAGCCATTGAGCAATCTTGTAGGCCTGGCTCCTCCGACCACGGGTCTGGCCTCCGTAAATTGTGCTCATCGTCCTCCATGAGGGCATCCTCCACCAGCACCTCAAGAGAAGTTCCCGGAGGACTATTGTGGTGGGAGCCCCGAGGCCTGTCATCCGGGATGATCACCGCCCTGTGGTTATTCGGATTCAA